AATATTGCTTATTTTCACCTGCACGTGAGAATGAAACAACCACCATAAGATGGTACGAAAGTAGCAAATCCCGTGGATGTGTTGAGCTAAACCCAAGCAGTTCACCCAGAATTACTTTGCACAATTACATTCTGGAGTTTTGGCCAGCGGAGCTGGATGACTGGGGATCTTACTTTTTCCAAATGGGGTGAGTAGCCCTTTGTTTTAATATATTTCATAGCACTCTTGGCCTTTGTTCAGCAACTCAAATATACATTAATCGGAAAGGTCAAGCAATCATGCATTAATTTCTCTCCCACTCTTTCCACAAGACGAAACAATACTTCACTATTGAAAATAATAGTCTCCCTATGTTTAATTTCTTAGTGATCTTAATGAAAGGAGATTACCTTAATAGGATTTGCTTTTGGAGATCTTTGTCAGTGATAAGTGAAGATGGAATGAAAGTCAGTTTTAAAATTCAGCCGCTCCTGTTGTCTAGATCCCCTGGTCAATGAAATCAATGGTATTACGTGTAGCGTGGAGGTGGTGAGGCCGTGTCAGCTCTCTGGGTGGCATCTTCAGACTGGGGAGGAGGGATGGGATTGACATAGACACATCTTAGTCTAGTTTTTAGGGTGCCAGGTGATGGTGCTAGTGGAGGAGGCGTGTCTTTGGCAGCCAATCACAAACCTGCAGCCAGGGACAGTGCTGCGGGGAGGCGGACAGGAAGGGCTTTGCAGTCTACTGATGACATAGCCCGAGGTTCTGCTGGCAGAAGTGTAACTTCTGTAAAATGAGAGCAGCCTACTGAATGCGTCAACCACTGTTTCTGACCTTGGTTCTCTCTTGTATGTACGCACCTGTGCACATGTGTATGGATGCATGTATGTATGTATTTTTATAGAGTTTTGGGATTGACCTGTGGAAAACAGCTCTGGGCCAGCTGAGTAGTGAAGTGTGTGCTGTCAGNAATTCAGCCGCTCCTGTTGTCTAGATCCCCTGGTCAATGAAATCAATGGTATTACGTGTAGCGTGGAGGTGGTGGGGCCGTGTCAGCTCTCTGGGTGGCATCTTCAGACTGGGGAGGAGGGATGGGATTGACATAGACACATCTTAGTCTAGTTTTTAGGGTGCCAGGTGATGGTGCTAGTGGAGGAGGTGTGTCTTTGGCAGCCAATCACAAACCTGCAGCCAGGGACAGTGCTGCGGGGAGGCGGACAGGAAGGGCTTTGCAGTCTACTGATGACATAGCCCGAGGTTCTGCTGGCAGAAGTGTAACTTCTGTAAAATGAGAGCAGCCTACTGAATGCGTCAACCACTGTTTCTGACCTTGGTTCTCTCTTGTATGTACGCACCTGTGCACTTGTGTGTGTGTGTGTGTGTGTGTGTGTGTGCATGTATGTATGGATTTTTATAGAGATTTGGGATTGACCTGTGGAAAACAGCTCTGGGCCAGCTGAGTAGTGAAGTGTGTGCTGTCAGATGTAGCAGGTTTCTTCTAGAAGCATCTCTGGAGAGTCCTGATCATTATCAGCCATGCTGCTGACAGCGGAGTGAGATACAGATATCACAGTGAAACCTCAATGTCACTCCTGTGGTTTTGCACAAAATGAGGTCATGTTTGTTTTTATATATAACAACTCCCAGGAGTCAAAAGAAATGAAAGAACTTTAAAAAAATCCAGTAAGTTTTACGTGACCTTTTAAGAGAGATGATTACAGAAATGGGTCTCAACTGGGTCTTTTCACAGCAAGCTGAGGAAAAATGAATACTCACCAATGGGGTAAATGAATAAAGGCCTGACTTAAAGAATCAGAGCATTCTGGACAGGGGAGGAATTGCAAACTGGGGAGAAGAACCGGTCATCTATGACTGATTGTCACGTGGAGATGATAGAGACACGGCATTAACTGTCTTTCTGATATGAGAGTAGAGAATAGAAGAGGGCTCGGAAGTACAAGTGGAACTGTCAGGTGGAGGTCAGCAGTCACAGGGTGGCGGGTAGGAGAGGG